CAAGCCAGCCATCTCTACCCTCCCACCATTGGACCCACCCAGGCTCCAGGAAGCAGGGGGCAGGCCAGGTCCCACAGCCCAGCCACAGAAGGAGGAAGTGACACAGACAGACCCACATCGTCACCTCATAAGGAAAGGTTTATTCAGATTCAACCGCAGAGCAGTAGAGAGCACATCAGACACAGGGAGGTCCTGGTCCAAGCCCAGATTGGTGTATGCACAGTGGAGATGACAGCGTTACACAGACACGGCCGTGTGCACAACAAAGATGAAGCAAACAGCATGTCACACAACCAAGGGCTACCTGAAAAGGAACGTTGAAACCGGGGCTCTGCGTACAGACAGATGCCACCACCAGGCCACTTGTGCCCACCTAATAAAAAAATTACGGGCGATAGTACTCTTCTTTATAATCCCTTTTCCTCATAATACATTGTGTGTTTAACACACACGTACATCATTGCTAAAATCAGCAAGAGCTATTGTAGTGCTCCAACTTAATAAGTTGATAAAAAAAATTTGTCCTGTGGGCAGTTCGCAATAGAACTAAATAGTTTTGTTTCGAGACGCCTGGGAGCTTCTCTGGTAACAAGAGACATTTCCAACCAATGGGTCATTCTGCCTCCCAGAAGGTCTCGGTCCACGGCACCTGGACATGTGCCCTGGCAGCCCAGTGGCGGGGAGCAGGGGACGCCGCAGGTGAGGGTGGAGGCTCGGCCTTCCCGGAGGTCCCAGTGGAGCCGGCCCGATCCTGAGGATGGGATGGCCAAGGGGCTGTCTCCAGGCTGAGGTTCGGCCAGGATGGTGGTGGCTGGCTTCCCACAAGGAGGTGACGAGGATGGCTTTAGGCTGGGCCCCCCAAACATGCTGCATGTCCACGGCCATACTGAATCGACACCACGGCCAGTGGGTGCTGGGCCAAGCCCCCCAACAGCTGTGCCCCAGGAGCACTCAGGAAGTGGGCCCTCGAGGCAGCCCCTTGGCAGGCCAGCAGCCCCCAGGCCCGGACGCAGGCGGAAGGATGGATGGTGCATCTCAGAAGCAGCCGCTCGCAGATGTAACATCAAGACGACAGGCATGTCTGCCGGTTCCTGGCGGCAACCTTCCGAGGAGGACGGGTCACAGGCATCCTTGCACACTCACAGTTCTGGCGGCCACAGGTGGACAGAGCTCAGGGAGAAGCCAAGCAGCTTGGGAAGTCACGTGTTGGTGCGTCTTTTCTGAAGTTGGTTAGTGTCTAGTGTGGATCTGGGGTACGTTTTACAGACTCGGTCTGTGACAGCATTGCCGTCGCTGGCTCTGAACCATCAGCCACAAGGGAGGGACAGTCGGCATGTATGAGAGCATTCCTCCAACACGCTGCGCACACACCATGGCCCTGGAGGCCTGGGCTGCCGCGGAGGTTGGAGGGTGAGTGCCGCCCTTTACCTAAGTCCTCCTGACCTCCCCTGCTCCCTGCAGCCCTTCAAAGACGGGTTCCTCTCTGGGGTTCTCAGGGGTCAGACACCTACTTCTCCACACACCTGAGGGCTGTGGGGCCACTGACCCAGCGAGGAGGGCCCAGCCGTCCTGCTTCCCCCCAGAGGACACCGCTGATCTCAGCCTCTCCTTGGCCTGGCCCCGTAGGGGCTCCGAGACGTTCAGGGGCGGTTCTTGGGGAAGCAGCGGACACGCTCAGCAGCAGGCAGGATGCTTCCGGCTGAGACACCTGCCTCTACTGCCAGCTCTCGTCACCCGGGAATGTCACAATGCCACTCTGCCCATGGAACAGGCAAGAAGGGGTGCAGGGCAGGCTGGCCTGGCCTAACGCCAATCCTCCTCTGCCCCTTCCCACCAGCGCACACTCTGGCACGGTCTCGCTTCTGCCGCACGTGTCTGAGGCATCCCTTTAAAAGATTCTTTACTTAGTTGACTTTCATAGGGAACAAAAGATGCAGACTTTCTTTTTTTTAATTTTATTTTTCCCCCACAAAGCCCCAGTAGATAGTTGTATGTCATAGCTGCACATCTTTCTAGTTGCTGTATGTGGGACACGGCCTCAGCATGGCCGGAGAAGCGGTGCGTCGGTGCGCGCCCGGGATCCGAACCCCGGGCCGCCAGCAGCGGAGCGCGCGCACTTAACTGCTAAGCCACGGAGCCGGCCCGGGAACAAAAGATGCAAATCAGACCAACGTTACCCTATTTTGGTAGTAAGTCCATTTATATTACACAGCAACCAACCAAATCCCTGCCACACATGCTCCCAGTCCTCTGCTCGAAGGCACCGGCCTGCCGACCTGTGCCCAGAAACCCCAGGGCCTCTACGAGGCCAACTCCAGGCTGTCTCAAGCATCGGCCACTCGGCCAGCCCACCCAGTGGGCACTAACAGAGCCCAGCCCAACCAGGCCCCTCAGCTAGGGCACCAGACAGAGAGCCTATCCAGTCACCAGGCTGCAGAAGAGCTGCTCCGGGGCAGTTCTCCTGCGATCCCACCGTGTCTGAGGTACAGCGTTAGAAAACACACACGCCCGAGCCAGTCTGCAGCCACACTGCACAGCTAGTCCCTTCCCCTCAGCTTGAGACACAAGGTGATGACACGCTGAGAGTTTCAAGTTAACGCAATCTTGAAATAATCTCACTGGAAGTATGGGGCTGAGGCTAAAGGATTCGGCTACTTGGTCCTCCCCGAGCTCACCCCCCAGCAAGGGCCCAGCAAGGCAGCTCCAGACACCAGCTTCACACCGAGTCCTCTGATCCAGACCACAAGGCACCTCCCTTCCTTCCGGCCTGCACGCTGACCAGACCTACACAGTGAGACAGACTTTGGTCACAACACCCAAAGGGCTTAAAAATCTCTACAAATCTACTGGAGCACAGCCACGTGCTTCTGCGCCGAGGAACAGACAGCAGCCACGCCCTTCACCGGCTCTCACCAAGAGCGCAGACGAGTGCCTTGCTTCTCAGCGCTGTTCTTCTCCTAACAGGGACTTCAACAAAATGTGCTTTGACGTCTTTGTTATTTCAGATCATGGTCAAGTTTAAGGCTGGGATCTCAAGGGTTAATGCACTTTTTGGGTGGTGGTCCTCACCATAAGCCCCTCTTAGTCCTAAAAGTCCAGTCCCAGCCAGGCCCTGAGCCCCACCACAGGTGTCTGAGCACTGGCCATGGGTAAGGGTGGGCGCCCCATGGCTGGACATGTGTTTGGTTCATTTCAGATCTTGATTCAGGTCTGTTCCACCCCCACCTGTATTCTCTGCTCTCCTGTCTGTTTCTAGGTGTCAGGAGACCTGTCCAGGAACAGGATAAACAAGCTGAACAGAGGCTGCGACTTGGAAAGAGGACTTACAATCTTAAAGCCGTTAAGGGGATCTCAACTGCAGGTGAGTGACCTGCAGGGGCGCCCGGCTGGGGCGGCGGGGAGAAGGAGTGGATGCTGGGGGGCTGGGCTCACGCGGGCACTGGGTGCGCGGGGATGCCAACAGTGCTTTCAGCAGGAGGGAGGACTCTTCCTGTCTAAGCACACGACTCACAAGGCCACTTTCAAGTTGGAACACACATAGAACACACTCGTGTCTCCAAGTCACTCCTCCGTGACCCTGGCCTGCGAGGGAGGACGCCCGGCCCGAGGAACACATCTGCTATGGATGGGCGCCGTGGTCCTCGGACACGAAACAGCCTACAAGGTGCCACCACAGCTGAGACTCAGCGAGACCAGGGGCCAGTCAGGTACATTAAACATAGTCACTCCTTTAAATATACAGAAAATTCAAGTAATTTATTTAAAAACTGCTTAGTTTCATCTTGAAATATATATATATATATTTGCTTTAGGATGATCATATTGCAGCATGATTCTCATGCACTTTAAAGTACTTTATTAAAAAACATCAACTTGAGGCAGCAGAGTATCGACTGTCTGAGTTTACCCAGGCCCTGTGCAGGAGGCCTCCCTCTTTCTCCTGAGATCAGTCAGCTCAGACCGACCATTCCAAATAGGAAAGCAGAAACTGCTTCGTTTTAAAGAGACTGTGGTCTGGAAAAGAGTTCCAAACAGCTGCACATCTGACGACTGCACTCGCCCGAAGTCCAGGTTTGGTTTATACGCTGAAAGCAGGAACATCTCAGGGTGCCGTCCATGGAGTGGACCTTCTGTCCCAGACGACACGTTCTTCACATCGCAGGTGTTCTGATCCCAGCGTCCAGTGGAGTGAGCAGGTGAGAGGTCAGAGGAGGTCAGAAGTGCCCGCACACACCCGAGGTAGGCCTGGTGCAGGACTCAGGCAATGCCACGCCTGGAGTTCTGCCCTCACAATTTCCCCAACAAATGGTTTCAAGGTGAATCAAAGTGCAATGAGAGTCCACAACCTCTCCAGGGAGCTTAGGACAAAGACGACAGGTTGGGGACAGGAGGGTACACGCGCACACTGTGCACACGTGCAAGTGGGAGCAAATCCGCCAGTTCCAAAGCTGCCCTGGCGGGGGTCCCACCCCAGCCCCCTGGTCGGGGCGTCTGGAATGGCCCTTGCAAATGGCCCTTCTACACCCAGGGAGCCCCGGGGCCCCGCCTCCTCCCAGCTTTGGTGTGTGGCCGCGAGCAGGGCTGCCCGGGCGCAATCTGTCAGACTCTGAGGAAAAGAGGAGATGTTGTTCTTCTAAGAAAACCACAGTTTTGGAAAAAAAATATTTTTTTCTATAATAATCATAAAGAAAAATACTCTCCAATAGCTGCAGCACCAACAGAATGTGATGAGATCTGACAAGGTCCAAATCCCTGTAGGCGTCCACAGGAAAAAAACGTGATAAAATGTTTTAGTCACTGACTACACGACTATCATCTGAAGATTCAGATAAGATATAGCAAAGGACATCAGATATTTTTTTGTTTTCAATTATAACTTTAGAAATGCAAAATCTTATTTTTTTCTAAATTGCTTGTCTATATTGTAAATCTGGTCTACAATTTAAAAACATGCAGAATAATACACCTGCAGAAAAAAAGATAGACTTGAAATTAAAAGATCTTTTTCAATTAAAAAAAAAGATTTCAAATGATTTTTTTAATTATGGAAAAAGTAATTAGCGTGATGTTTTTGCCTAGTGGCTCAAACCTACCCGACAACTGCTGAGTCACCACCCCACTGTGGGAAGGAACTCTGCCTGTGCTGCCCCGAAGCAACGGCAACCAGCCTTCGAGGCAGCCTCTGCCCCGGCCCAAGTGCCCCGCTCCCTGCCGCCCTCTGGAATGTGTGCACAGGAGCTCGGTCACACCATCGACTCCGTCACCACGGGCCCCTGTGGGCCCTCCCTGCGGGAGAGCTTCAGCACAGTGGGCTTCTCGCTGCCGCCCCCGCCTTCCCCCGACGTCTGGGAAGACAGGCCTTTCTGCTCCTCCTTGGCCTCTTCCGACACCTCCGGGTAGATCACCAGGAACGTGGCCGTCAGGAAGCCCAGGAAAGAGCCCACGGAGGCCACCATGGGGATGACGCGCACAGTCCCAACGGCGTCGACCACGCCCCCGAGGGCAGACGCCACCAGGATCTGGGAGATGTAGACCTGGCAGGAGAGGATGGCGCAGTCTATGCCGAAGCCGCGCTTGGAGTTCCCGGGGCTGTGGTGCACGTACTGCAAGAGAGGAGAGCACAGGGTGAGGGCCATGCGGAGGTAAACCGGCCAGTCAGCATTCTCGCATCTGAAAATTAGCTCAGGAGTCTGGAAACAAATCATTGCCTTCCACTCAGCCTGCCTCCCCCACCCTGTTCCACTGCTATTCGACACTGTATTGGAGGTTCTGGCCATTGCAATAGGCAAGGAAAACAAATAAGACGTAGTAAGGATGGGGAAGGAAGAAGTAAAACTCATCATACGTGGATGATGTGACTGTGTGTGTGGAAAGTCCAGAAGAACCTGGAGAGATGCTGTAAGAAGAGAGGAACGTGCCACATTCACGGATAGAAAGGCAAAGTACTACAGAGCTTTTCACTCTCCCCAAATCAATCTATATAAGGATTGTGTTTCCAATAAAAAGCCCAGAAGCTGATTCTAACATTTAGATGAAAAGCAGACGGCCAAGAAAAGCTAAGACAGAACATGGTGTAACCCATGCAGACAGAGAAGTGTAACGACACACACCTGACTTGATACGTTGCAAACCAACGTGACCACAATTAAAAAAAACAAAAATAAAACAGACCTAAAAATATAAAGAATGGCACAAAAATACCTTTGTGAAACTTGCATTTCGCCTACTATAAAAAAGATGATTAAAAAAAGAAGAGCTAAGACAATCTTGAAGAACAACAAAGTTGAACGACGTGTACCATCTGGTTTCAGGTCTTATTATAAAACTACTTAGGATAGTGTAACATCTGTCTGAGGACAGACAGGCCAATGAGAGAGCACAGAGACCAGAAACACCCCCGGATGGACACCTGACCAGGGCAAACACGGCAGTGCAGTGCGGGTGGGGAACACGCAGCCTTTACGGTGAGTGGCGCTGGGACAGGTGGCCGTCTGTATGTGGGAAAACTAACAGTCTCCATCCCCTGCTTCAAACCACACACACACCTACCAGGGAAGAGCACACATCGAGAGTGCGGGCGCACGGAGGACACAGGCAAGAACGCTCCCTGCGGCAGGGTCAGCAGTGACCCCCACTGGAGGAGCCCAGTGCCCCCAACAGCAGGACGGATACAGGAACTGTGGCCAGATGGTGGTATAGGAAAAGGAGTTAGCAGCAGGGGGTAACCACAGACACTCCAGCCACAGCAGGCTCAGAAACCGGCCAGTCGAGCACATGGGTTAGAAGGCAGGACGATGAGTATCTGCACGTCTGCTTCTTGGTCTGCAGTGGATTCACAGCTGTGTTCTCCCTTCCGAAAACACATCAAGCTGTGCATTTACAACGCGCGTACTTTTCTGTAGTCATGTTAATTTCAACTAAAAAGTTTATTTAAAAAAATGCCATCATTTAGATTTTCCTTAGTCCCATATTGATTCACCTCATCACAGTGCATTTATTTTGCTTTAATAATCGTATAAGAGATGAGGTTAAACACGGTTTAGGTTTAGGAAGAGAGAGACATGAGCTTCTCTGTGGTTTCTTCCTTTCCCTTGGAAGGGTCTGATTGAAGTCTGAGAACCTGGGCTCCACCTGCACGGTGGCTCCTGAGCACTCGAAAGGTGTTAAATCAACACTGAATTTCAAAGACTTGGTGCAAATGCAAAATACCTCAACTTTTCGTATTGAGTACGTGTTGAAATGATGATGTTTTGGAAGTACTGGGTTAAATAAAATATAGCATTAAAATTGGTTTCACCCACCTTTTCACTCTTTAAATGTGGCTACTGGAAGTGTAAACCTACCCAGGTGGCCCACATTCTACCTGAAGGGACAGTGCTGGTCCCAAGCTCCCCGCCCAGGGGCCTGAGTGGGAGGGGACCATAGGCAGCAGGCAGCCTCCCCATCCCCTAAGTGCAACGCTGGGAGATGCACCTGAAGCCTCCAGGCAGGTGCCGGGTGGGCCGGGGTGCCAGCAGCCGGGCAGCTGCAGAAGGAGACCTGCGGCCAGGGAGCCGGGGCTTGGACTGACCCGGGCAGCTAGCAGCTCTCTTAGCCCCTCAGGGGCCATTCAGAACTGAAAAGCTGGGGACCATTTGTGTCTCGAGTGGCCACAAGCGGAAGGTGCAGAGCTGTGGCTAGAGACGTAGAGAAACGAGCACAAGCTCTGGGGCAGACGGATCTGATCATCTGTCCCGCCGGTGACCTCGTGCCCCAGCACCCTGGCCGCTGCGGCCCCCAAGGCGAGGACGCACCTCCTTGATGTCGTGGTACTGCCCGAGCAGGGCGTAGGGACAGTAGGAGATGCTCATGGAGACGATGCCCATGGTGCTGATCATGATCATGGCGACATAGACGTTGGCGAACATGGCCATCACGGCCGTGCCGATGGAGAAGCCCAGCGTCCCCAGCACGTAGATGACCCTGATGCTGAGGTCGTAGCTGTCCAAGTACTTCTGTAACAGGGCTGCAGAGAGAGTGCGACCACAGGACGGTGACCGACAGGTGTGGCCCCCGAGCGGGTGGCTCAGCTCGCTTCACTCCTGTGGGGCTCCCTCCACTGCTCGGCCCCTGCTGCCCCACCTCCCCTGCTGAACTCAGCCTGGCTCCATAACAGGCAGAACAGGCAGACACACCCCTCCTCTGTGCCCACGCTGCACAGCCGGACACGCGCCCAAACACACCTGCAGCTAGCTCACCTTGCGCACTCCGCTTCCAGGAGCTCTAGGCCCTCTTGTCCCGGACCCATAACCTGAACCCATCCTGGGGCCTGCGGCTCCGTGGGGCCTCCCTGCCCTGCCACGCCAGCCCGGCCTGGCCCAGATCCTTCCCATCAACCCAGGCCCACTCAGCAGTGCTCTCCGACCTGACACCCATCCTGCCTTGGGAACTTGAGTCCTAGCTGGTTTTCCTCATGACTACCCTTCTGGATCTGGAAGGACGGATTCCTGCTCACCCCTCCTGACCAAGCAGCTCATGTCACCTCCTCCAGAAAGTGTCTCAGACACTGCCCTGACAACTTCTCTATCAAGCGTAGGCAGTGCTGTGTGACTGTCACGCTGGCTTCCCACTGCGGTGTGGCATTCACCTTGACTATCCTCAAGTCTAGGTCAGGCTGAACGAAGCTGGCTGCCTCCTTCACGGTTTGGGCAAAGACCAGGCAGGGAGCCAGCAGGCCCCAGACACACTGCGTGCCCTCGAGACTTGGGATGCCCTGCTTCTGTGCCTGCACCGCCTCTCCCTGTCCTCCTGGCTAAGGCACCAAGACCTCTGTCCCGGGCTCGGGGCACCACGCCTGCAGTCCTCAATCACCCTGAGCCCACTCCCAGTCAGAAGACAGCCTGCAGCGGGGTCTCAGGACACCCAGGTCCCGGGGTCGGGCTACAGGGGCTCTTCCCTGAGAGGAGGATGCATGGGTTTCCATGCTCCTGTCCCTGAGGGACAGCCTGTTCAGTCAAAGCCAGGGCCTGCGCCTGTGCAGCAGGACCCCTCACCCACGTCTCTAGTCATTGACATCGCCCAGGCTCCCGGTGCACTGTAACCCCACTCTCGGCTCACTTACCTGAGCAAATGGCGCCGGTCGCCGCATAAATGACCAGGCCCCAGCAGCCCATCTTCACGCCGGCATTGTAGGCCTGCCAGGCGGTGGAGTTGGAGGGGGCCTGTTCCAGAAACAAGACTGGGGTTCAGGGGGGCAGGGACCACGTGCCATACTCTCTGGGCAAAGAAGGTTATTTTCCAACTCAACTACAGACAAGCTGTTCATTTTGAAAGAGGTGATAAATGTTTCATCAAGAAGAGAGCCAGCCATGGTCCAGGTCAGGCTCTGAGTGGATCTCTGCGATCCCTCCCAGCATCGCGCCTCCTGCTCTGGGCTGATCAGATGTGCAGCCCCCACCTCTGCCCTCTCAGAGCCCAGAGGCCACAGAGAGCAGCTCAGATGGACCCGGAGGTGAGGGATGGCCTGCAGCAAGGAGGCATGAGCCTGTGTAGAGCCCATCTTGGCCCTCCTGGCCCACCCTGGGTGACATGGCCACAAGTGTGAGCCAGCTGATGCCACGGGGAACAGGAGCAGCGCCCAGCTGAGTCCCGATGGTTACTCTAGGCACTGAGCTAGGCAGTTTGGTAGACGGACAAACGAGAACGCCTCACATCAGCCTCCCACGGCGGCCTCACCCTCACGGAAGCCCTCGTCATTTCCGCCTGCGGACCATGGGCCCGGGGGCCAACACCCTGCTGGGCTTGCACACAATGACGCCTGACCCTAACAACGGGCGCACACTGGCTAGCTGCCCACCGTGCGCCTCCCGCCCCTGCATGTGAAGCACCGTGCCCCTCCCTGACTCATGTGGATGATGGGGCTCGAGGAGGCGGTGGGCAGTGGAGGCTGCCTGGGAAGTGGCCTCCCCAAGGCCAAGGCCGTGTCACGCTCAGTGCACTGAGCTGTCACCCCTGCCAAGCTCTCCCAGCTCTCCTCCTGGATCTCTGCGATCCCGCCCAACCATCCCGAGAGTGCCACCCCTCCCAGTGCCAGAAGTGCTCACCTTGGGGTCCCCTTCGAAGATGACCTGGCCCATGAAGTCTGTGTAGAACACGGCCTCGGCGATGACGGAGAACCAGGTGAGCAGGTGGCAGAGGCAGAGCCGCGTCAGCTCCCTGGGCATCTTCAGCATGGACAGCCACAGCAGCCGCACGGTGGTCTCCCCCTCCCCCTCCTCGCTCTCCGTGTCCCCACTGGAGGTGGTGGCCCCGCTCGGGTTCCGGTGCCGGCACCGCTGCCGTTGCCGCTTCTGCAGGTCGTACAAGTCGCTCATGCTGCGTGACGGCTTGATCAGGACCACGGCATTGGCGCGCCGGTAGCGGTAGCGGTGGGCCCCAATCTTGCCGTAGTAGGAGAAGGTGCTGGAGGCCTGCCGGCGGAACATGTGCCGGCGCCGCCTCATGGAGGCTGACGTGGTCGAGGGCTTCCCGTCCACCCTGGTGTAGCCACTGAGGCCGTCTTTTGGGGGGGAGCCACTTCCGTTTGGGACTCTGGCTTCGTTCGAGTGACTGTCGAGCAGTGTCTCATCCTCCTTCGCGGTTTCCCTGAGCAGTGAGGGCAGGCAGGGCGGCCTGGTCTTGGCGAGCTCCTGGCTGTTGCTGCGGGGGGTGCTGGGGTAGGAGGCGTCGTGGAAGATGGAGGGCTCGATGTCGTGCAGGAAGAGCAGCTGGGGCTCCAGGTCCAGCGCGGCGTCTGGCACATGCAGCACCGAGTCGCTCTTGCTCCGCACCATGTCCACGTCCAGGTAGTCCAGGGCGAGCTCGTGCTCCGACTGCACCTCGTCTGGAAACAGGCCGGCGCTGCCGTCCGGGAGGCTGGGGCGGGCGGCAGGGGGCAGGGCGTCGGCCGCCTCCGGGCTCCGTTCCTGCTGGGGGCTGTACTGCTCCTCCTCGATGCTGAAGAGGTGCAAGGCCACCGACACCGTGAAGATGATGGCCGCGAAGAAGAAGAGCACTTGGTTCTGTGTTCGGAACCAGGCGCCCAGGAAGGTCTGGGTCCAGTCCAGCCCGCCCAGCACATAGCCGATGGCCCCACCGAGGCCTGAGCAGGGGGAGGAGACAGAGCGGCCAGTGAGTGGTGCAGGGCACTTTGACCCCCCAGAGGACACAGGCAGGCTGGAAAGATCTAGAAGGGCTTTCACCCTCAATCGGGGGCCAGGGCTGCCACTCACAGTTATGTCACAAATCAGGACATAAGTTTTTGGGACATAGAGTGAGAAACGGTAGGGAAAAGAAAACAAGAAACTACAGTTGACCCTGGGTTTGGAATTCTGACCTAACAGATTCCTGCCCATAAATGAGGAGCAGACGACTGTCAGGAGGGAAACGAGCGGCTACCCCGGGACTCCGCTCGGCACAAACCACCACCCCCTAGGCTCAGAAAGTCGACAGGCCCCGTCGGACGTGAAAGCTGCCCAACTACAAGGAACAGTCAGCACAGAGCCCTGGGCCACGGTCACCTGGCCAGCTCGTCACCCCCATCCCAGCCCCACAGTCACTTGGCCCCGCTGGGCTGGGGGTCCCTGCTCACTGCCTTGCCTGTCGGCATCTGAGGTGCAGCTGCGCCCGGGCAGTGGAAGCCCACCCCTAAGTGGGGGTGCTGGTCTCAGGAGCAGCCTCCTCCACTCCCATGGTCCTCAGCGCCAGGCAGGAAGTGGGGGGCTGGGGGTGAAGGGGGGAGAGTGGGGAGCAGGAGTACATGCTCACCGGCAGAGAAGGCGTGGATATTGAGGGCCATGTCCTGCTCCTCGCTGTCCACCACGTCCAGCAGGTAGGCGCGGATGGGCCCCTCGGTTGCATCAGCGCTGAAATCCAGGACCACCACCCCCAGCACTGTGAGGACGATGCCAATGGGCTGCCGGCTGGGGACATCACCGAGGGACAGACCTGACAGAGTACATGGGGCAGTCAGATCTCAGCTCCCAATGCCGACGGTCATCTCCAAGGGGCAGCAGCGACACTTCCACTCCGACCAGAAAGGGGCATGTTTCTGGGCACAGACTCGGTATGGAAGGGGGCTTTGTTGTCTCCATTTCTGTCATTTACAGGATTTTTTTCTCCCCGTTCACATCAGCTGTTTGGTGAACCTCAAAGAGCTTACGTGACTTTTACATTTTGTAACTAAAAAGGGGAAAGTGGTCCTTCCTACCCAACCTTCACTGGGGGGCTGTGCTGAGAGCACCAATTGTGTCAGCGAGAAAGGATGACGTGTGACACACCAGGTCCCTCACGCCTCTGTGCACGCGCTGCGTGTGCGGTTCGACGTTAGCTCCCCTGGGCCAGGGCCTCGAGGGGGAGCCTGTGCGCCTGCCCGGCCCAGGGTCTGCGGGACGCTCCGCCGGTGCTCACAGAAGGCATAAGCACCAAACGATGCTTCCTCGTTCGTTCGCTGTGGTTTCTCGGGCCTTCCAGAGGAAGACTCTGTTTGGATTTGTCTTATTGATGCTACACGGTGAGCATGTGTTTATTTTCCAATTTGCTTTACAAATAATTAACTGCGAAGGCAGACACCGATATTTCACGAGTCACACTGCATCCAGGGCAGCCAACCAGACCTACAGGCTAATTGTATTGTATAATCTGAAGTGAAATAATACTGAAAATACTAATTCCTTCCACTGGGAGCTTTTCAAGCTAATTCTCTGAGCAGCCTGGGTTGGAGAAGATGCAGCACTGGAGAGAGAGATGCAAATGGCCTCGCCTCTCACAAAATCCCTCTGTAAGTGGGCTGTAAGCACCCAGAAGACGCTATAATCACACACCATGTCTCACTTGCCTCAGGTGAGTCTGCCCCTAAACCCTGAGACCACATCACTGGATTCACCGCCCCTGAGAACAAGCAGCGCCCTCTTGCACGAAGATGCAGAGGTGGCCGTGGGCCCGTGGTCGGGGACTCAGGCCCAGCTCCAAAGCTCGGCAGGTTAGTTAGAAGGCGCACAACCCGCCCTGCATGCGGGCAGGGAAAGGGGTTTCTGACTAGGAGGTCCCTGCTGGCTACCCCAACCCTGTGGTGCCCGAAGAAACACAGGTACAGCAAGAGACAGGGTGCCCAGGGCATGGGCCAGAGCCCCCAACTCACTGCATTTGGGCCACATTTAGGCGGGACCACCCCACGGACACAGCCTTGAGAAGGCCCATGGTTCTCTCTGGGTGAGTGTGGGGCAGAGGCCGCTGCTCCCCAGGGTGAGGGTGACAGCCCTCAAGAGCCCACAGCATAGTGCCCGCAGGGGCCAGCAAAGCGGCACCCCTGGACTTCTGATTGGGAGACACCCAGGCTGGAGAAGGCCCCACATAAGGGGTGTAGCTCAGGGGTGCCCCCGGCCTGCCCCCATACAGGCCTCTGAGAAGCCAGTGAGGCTCCCGCTACAGCAAAAGGCTTCCTGCGGTGTCTCCTCCTGAGCGTTCCGGCATCCCTGACTTCCATCTGAGCTGATGCAGACTCGGGCTAAGTTTGTGAATGTCAGAACGCAGAGCAAGCCTCCATCTTAAAAAGTCGCTGCCAGAAAACATGGCTTTGTCTTTGGCAGCGTTGACGGGCACCCTCAAGGCAAAAGCTATGCTCCCACATAGAGGTGCTTTAACCAAAAACACAAACACAGCAAGCAGCAGAACAAAGCGTGAGCACACGAAACCAAAAAGCAAGCATCCAACTAGGTCTGGACACTTTCAACACCAAGTCTAAGAAAAGGAGAAAAAAAAGAAAAGATAATTTCTGAAATAATGCTGGAAACAGGATGTGGTGTCAGATACGCATTAAAAACAAATGGGTCACAACAGGAAACGCTTCCCTGTGAACAGGTTCCTACAGCTTTCCCACGTGGGCCCGGATCCAGCGCTGCCAAGTGCGGCCACCGCCCGGGCGGCAGAGGGCTCAGCACAGCCGCGCTGCTCAGGGACCCAAAGGGGGCAGGGCTCGCCCAGGAGGCCACGCCGTCCCACGGCCGCCACTCGGAGTTATCTAACACCACATATCGCACTGAATGGAAAGCTACCCCCAGTCAGGACTCAGCCACAGGTTTTAGGAGGCATAGGTGGCAGAGGACACTCACCGATGGCAGAGCCGTTCAGGAAAAGCGCCACGCCGAAGAGCACGCCCACGCAGAGGGCCAGGATGAAAGGCCGGCGGCGGCCCCAGCTCAGGGTGCACCGGTCGCTCGCCGAGCCGATGAGGGGCGTGAAGATGAGGCCAAGGACGGGGCTCAGGAACCAGGTGAGACTGTAATACTGCTCCGGAAGGCCTGCAGCAGACACGCGGGCCGTCACACACACGGCACGCATGGGGACACGCTCACACAAGCCCACCCGCTCACCCCAGGCGGACTCTGCTCACAAAGCATGGGGACAGGTGCCACTGAGTGCACATCCCCGCTGGTTAGAGACTCCTCGGGGTAGAGGTTCCCACCCGCAAGGCTGGGCGATTGGAAACCAACCGAAGCCTCACTGGGAAGCACCAGGCGGTCAGAGGTCAGCCCTGGGCCTTGGAGTGGGCACCCTGGGATGTGCCCGCAGGTGCACCCGGCCACTGGGCACAAAGTGTAACAAGCAGCAAACATTAGTCGCAGCGGAGCATGGAACAGCCATGCACACACATGGGAGTGCCACGCCAGGGCCCACACACAGCAGGTGCCCATGGGTGGCAAGAGGCCGAGACCCTCGCATACCACTGGTGTTGACCCAGCCTTGGTCTCGGGGGCTGCTCAGTGTCACCTCAGGGGCACCAGGCACTGAGCCTAGTCAGCCCAGGACAAGGGCGGAGTGGGGACTGCAGCTTGGGAGAGGCGGTGAGGACCCCCTGCCTGCATCCTGGGCCTCATGGCTGGAATCTGTCACCAGGGTCCTGAGGCGGGGCCATGCGGCCACTGATGTGCTGGACGCCCCCAGCAGGGGGCCGCTTAGGGGCAGCAGGGGGAGGAGCCTCAGTGTCCAGCTAGAACCAAGGGGTGTATCTGGCGCTGGATATCCCCTCTCACTGAGTCCTCCTAACTGCCCAGAGAGGTAGGGATTATTGTGCCCATTTTACAGAAGGGGAATCTGAAGCTCAGAGAGATTAGCTAACCTGCCCCAGGTCACACAGCTAGGAAGTGGGAGCCCCAGGACTTAACACCAGGGCTGCCAGATTCCAAAGCCCATGTGTCCCCCACCCCCATATGCTGCACCCTGTCACACAAACCCAATGCCCATCGACGGCGGAACGGCGAAATGGGTCTGGCACATTTGTATGCTGGAGCGCTGTGCAGCAACTGGAATGAACCAGCTGCAGCTTCTCGCAATAACACAGCTGAACCTCGCACACAATGCTGGATGCGGAGGAGACACGCTGTGGGTTCCATTTATCCGACATCCACAACGGCTAAAAGAGGCTCTGCCGGCAGCAGCCAGGGTGGCTGCCCTCGGGAGGGCAAGGGCTTCGGGGCTGGTATGCCCTGCCCCTGATCTGGACGGTGGTCCCTGGTGAGAAACCACCCAGCTGCAGGCTTCGGTCATGCACTTCTCTATGTTATGCTTCAGTAAAACGTTGACTTAAACAATAAATGGTGCTCCAGCCTGCCAGCGACTCCTCTGGCTAATGTTTTACCTCGCCAAAGACACTGAATGATGATATTGTCCTGAACTACCAAGAAAAACAAACTCGTGTAGGAGGAGGAAACCATGTTCAAAGGAGGAGGGAAGCACCTTTCAGAATTATCGCTAACATGCCCGTGTGAAAATATTGATGCGTTCAGGCTAGAATGCAAGGCGTCTGTTCTGACCTCTATGCACACAGCACTGTAGGACGGGTGAATTCTGCTCCTGTTTCAAGTCAGCAGAATGTACTGTTTCAGGAAACTCGAGGCTTGCTGAGTGTGTTCATAAGGCAGGCCTGGTTCCTCGTCTTTCATCATCAAATTAGGCGGAGGGGAAGTACCAGCTGCCCGGCCGTGCTGACACTGCCCACATTCAATGACACACGTTGTCCAGCCTCGTGTTGCTCAGAAGTGATCCCTGACAAAAGCATGCAGACCGTGAAACGGAGCCAGGACTTCAGAAAGAGCAGAAAGTTTTCCTATCCCAACGTACACAGACTCTTCTGTTGGGATTTGTAAACACGTTACAATTTTACTGATGAACTCGAACATGCCTGGTGACAGGCAGCTCCTTGCAGAGCCGCAGCACATGCTTGCGCACAGACACATGCACACACACACACACACATGCACCCACGGGTCTTCTCTCCTCGGGTCCTGGCCTTCCGGCCTCAGGCACATGGAAGCCCCTGGGTCTCCTGCACACCCCTTGCTGATCCTCACATCCCTGCCTGGCTCCTGTTAGAATCCTGAGGTCACCCACCCAGGAAGCTTCCCCCCTCGCCCACAGCTCCCACTCACCCAGGCACACCACTGTATTTCCACACCTTCTGAACCACATGTATGCATTCTCAAGAGACCAGACAGCCCTGAGGGCGGGGACTGGGTTATTCGTCCCTCCCCAGATGTGACCCACAGGAGGTGCTCATGTTTGTTGAACTCAACCAAACCTTGAGCTGCTGGAGAGAAAGCCCCAGATGCGCTGCCCAGTGACTGCCAGTCCGTCTCTGTCTGTCGCCCTTCACCTTCCTACTGGCTCCTTTTCTGAAACACCACCTGCAGGGCCAGCTGGAAGCCCCCTGCACCCCCAGCCCTCTCCACCCCTGGAGAGGCCAACACTTGACCCCCAGGCCCCTCCACCCTTGGAGAGCCCAACCCTTGACCCCCGGCCCCTGCTGCTGGCTGGCCCCCTGCTAACCCGGTCTGGTCCAGTCCTTGGGTTGTGGCTGGCCTACCCCCTCCCTGGAGCACCTCACCCACCTGGCCTGCAGTCTGCCCCAAGTTACCAAGCCCCTTCCAAGCCACCAGATTCCCAACAAGCCCACTCTCTCCAGCGAGGTGCAAAGCGCCCCATCTAACCGAGCGTGCAGCTCCCACGCTCCTCTGCCACCCCGCCACACGTGCATGCCCCTCTAGCATCACAGCTCTTGGCACCTGGTTCTGGCAACGCACTCGACGCTGGTCCAGGTGCAGGCAGATGAGCACACAGCATATCTGTGACCCCTGTGCTTGCCCGGGCAGTGTGGCAGCCAGAACCAGACCTGGTCCCTGGCTTCCCATGGCTTCCAGTCCTGGGGAGGGACGGGCATGAGCAAGCTCACCAGGGCGACCCATGGTGCTGGGGACTGGCCAGGTCGGGAAGGCAGCACCCTCATGCCAAGGTCTGATGGAGATAGGCAGACAGGGTGCTGCAGGCAGGGGGAAAGCAGCGGTGGGCATTCATCTGGCTGTGCAGGGGCCATGACCATGAGCTTCCACATCCTTACAGACCAGGAGACAGGCAGCCCTGGCGAGACGAAGGGGCAGGCTTTAGATCCACAGGCCTGGGGACCCTGGCGGGCCTCTCATGGGGGGACAAGGGCTGGTGGTCGTGGGGCCCCACGCACACTTGCCTGGACTTCAGGGTGTCAGGACAGGGTCCAGAGCCCGGTGAGCACGTCCTCCTGGCACCCTCCAGGGGGCATGACTGGCAGGAGGCTGCCCTGGGAGGGGTGCCCAGCTGGGGGACCAGAGGGTTCCAGCTGTTGTCCCCTTGCTACTTGGAGGAACTGACGTGTGCACCAGACTCCCCTCCTCCTCAAGGTCAAGGCTCTGCCACACGGGCTGACAGACTCTGCCACCTGTTTCTGTGTAGCCTGCACCTTAAGAATGGTTGCCACTTTTTTAAATGGTTGAAAAAGACCAAAATACGAATATTTCCTGACATGTAAAAAGTTGATGACATTCCAACTTCAGTGTCCACACATAAAGTTTTACTGGAGCAGAGCCACACTCGTCCGTTTATGTACTGTCTGTGCTGCTCCAGCTCTGACGGCAGAGCTGAGCAGCGGCGACAGGGACCGGCTGGCCCACAGGGCAGAAGACCCCTTTGGCCCTTGACCGCAAGAGTCTGCTGAGCCTGCTGAGGGACGCGGGCGGCGTTTTCTGTTGTGCGGTTTGTCTTCCCCTTCTGTGTTTAGCTGTCCTCTTGGGCTGAAGGAAGGGTGTTCAAGTTCCCAGCGATGACTGCAAAATCGTGCATTTCAGCCTTCAATTCTGTCCACTTGGGCTTTCTGTATCTTAAAGCTCTGTTTATTAGGAGCACACACACTGATGATGGCTACGTCTCAGTGTTGAACCGACCCTTTCTCCCTGGGCTGCCTGCTCCCTTTATCGCTGGCAATACCCCTTATCTGAGTCCACTTCATCTGATATGAATGCACTCACCCCGGCCGACGCAGGCTTCCTATCGGCACAGCACATCTTTATCCCTCTCTTTACTTTCAACCCATCCGTGTCATAATATTCTAAGAGCATCTCTCTTAAACAGCATATTGGCAGATCCTGTATCCTCCGTCCTGCCCAGCTCTCCTCCCGCGCATGTCCAGTCCACCAGCATCTGGTGCAGTTACTGCCGTGGCTGACGGCAGGGCACCACCCCTTGCTTCTGTTCTCTCCTTGTTTCTGTTCCTCCGTTCTTACCTTTTTTGGGTTAACTATCTTTGCGCATTCTATTTTACTTTACACATTGGCTTTTTGGCATCATCTTGTAGTGGCTGCTCTAGGGATGACATTATATGTCAACTTTTCAGTCTACATGGTGACTGTTACACATCACAGAAGGACCTGGCAGCCAGCTCTGTCCCTCCTGCTGCCCCCTTTCTGCTGTAGCTGGCACCGAGACCATGTCTACAGACACTGTCAACCCCACACTCTGCTAGGATTTTTGCTCTAACAGTCATACCTACTGTAAAGGAGTGAAGAGAAAACTCGCCCTGTATTTTCCCATTCAGCCCTTCCTTCCTGAAGATGACTGTCCATCTGCTATCACTTCCCTTCAGCCTCAAGAACCATCTTTAGTTTCCCCAGCATTTCTTTCAGAGCACATCTGCTCATGACAAAAGCTCTTAGATTGTATCTAAACTCTATTTCATTTTTATTCTGAAAGGATATTTTTGCTGGATACAGAATTCGGGGTGAACTCTTCTCCCCCAGAACTTTGAAGATGTCACTCCACTGTCTCCTGGCCTCACTCCTTCTCAAGGGAAGGCCGTGGTATCCCATGGGATTGTATATATGCAACGTGTCTTCCTTTCCTCGGGGTGTTCTCGTTTCCCTCTGCATCGTTGGCTTTCAGCAGTTTGACTATGACGAGCCTAAGCAAGGTTTTCTTTACATTTATCCTGTTTGGGCTT